TGCGTGGTCGACCAGTTTTCTTCAAACAAGAAGTCATTCTATTCTTTTTATAGTGCTGAATTATAGATTAGACTGTAAACCTGGGAAGTATCAAGTCTTTAGATATTTTGTTGATAACTTGATTTGCCAGCATCGACCCCACATACTATTCGCTTTCGAAGCTCTTCACACACGGGTTTGCCACGACCCATTGTTATTTTAAAACTAATGAAAAAGACTGAAATTTGCAGAATTTATACTGTCTCACTTGACAAATGGCACAGAATTACTTTTACAAATTTAAATTATTCTACATACATAATTGTACAAAGAAGGAATAATCTTATTGAACTCACCGATAAAGGAACTCTTTTGCACCAATTAACAATTAGACGAACTATTTTGCTTATAACTTCTTCGAATTTAAAACAGGATATGTATAAATTTAAAAAGCTAAAATAGTTTATTGGTTCATAATTAAAAAATGGCATAAGTAACGCGACATATGATAGTAGAACACCTTAATGTAGTAGAAACCATATTTTATGTAGATATACAAAAATAATGAAGTTAGAAAAAAACTCACAGAGAAAATTTCACACTAGACGAACTACTTTGCATCAGGGGTAGCTACATGTTGTCAGCTGGGCAGCTAGTGCATTGGGATGCTTTTCAAGTCTCCCTTTATATGTCTCTGTACATTTTCCAATTTCCTCCTGTACAGTACTCATCTCGAGATGTTGATGTATTTCTTTATTGGTAATGAACCATGGGGCATTGCATAGGTTTCTAAGTATCATATTTTGTACTCGCTGTAGTATGATGATGTTGGAGTTGCTAGCGCTGCCCCATAGTTGTAAGCCCTACATCCGCACAGGCTTAAGCACACATTTGTAGATGAGCAGTTTGTTGTCTATAGACAGCTTGCTATTTCTGCCCAGTAACCATGACAGACTGTGGTAACGGACCTTGAGTTCATGCCTCTTGGTCGCAATGTGTGGTCTCCATGTTAAGCGTCGATCAAGATGTAATCCGAGATACCATAGACATAGACATGATATATAACAAATTTAATCATTTCATCATATTGCGTTCTACACTTCATCATCAGCCTGTTGCAGTCCACTGCTGGACATTGGTCTCTCCCATTGCACACCACTTAGATCGATTTTGGGCTTCTCGCATCCAGCTCCTGCCAGCCATCTTGCGCAAATCGTCACACTTACTTAATGCGTATTATAAATTGGTTAATAATATTTTTCATATTTCTTGTTTTGTATTCTTGTAAATAAAATTATTATCTTTGGAAGCTTTGGTTGTTTTGAATGTTTTATACGTAGTTTACCGCATTGTATAGTAAAGGAAAACAGGACAACAAAGAATCTACTCTACCTGCAACACGATTTGAGTCGTCCCTGGTTAATATTATTCTTATTAACTGACTTCATACAGGTATCCATGTCACAGGAATAGGTAAAGAATACAAGTGAAATATATTTTTTATAATATCCATATATTTGCAACAAAAATATAATATGGCACGCAAATTAAAAAATACAACAAATTAGGCTTACAAACTAACTACATCTGTAGTGCCAGTAGTACATTTAATATATCAAATAAAAATTACAAAATAGAATATGAAAATCGACTTGTATATTACTAATACAAAAGGCAAGTAAAAACGCATTTAAACGCCATTGGAAAAAATACATATAAAACAGTCTAACATTTACAACTTAAATTCGGAATATAGACAACGCATGGAATGATAATAATTAATAATAAACAAAGCTGCTTTCAGATGATTATAGACGCTTATGGGTAGCTACTAATTAATATGAATCACTAAAATTAGTTCGTATTGATTATTATTAGGTTCATAATATTTGCTATCCAGGATGTCGGCAATCTCAAGGTGATAGGGAGTATATAAAGAGTAAGATATATGTCAGGGGGAAAGTTTGAGTCTCTTATGGTTTTACTTGGCTTTGAATCCTTTCAGCACTTTGTTGGAGGGTTCAAGGCTAGGCTAACGTGTGCAATCATGTATATTAAGAGAAGCAGGGTTGTGGAATCTTATGGAACTCTCAGATTCAACGCACTAGTCTCTCAGCTAACGAAACTTACAAACATTTGAGTGTCACAGGCGTTTATTGTAAATGAGTTGACTATAAAACAATCGTTACTTGAACGCTTCTTTAGCCGCCTGAAAAAAGTTTTCTTTTGTCGGGTGGTAATAATGTGAGGGCCTATAATGATTGGGTCACACCAGTTCTAACCTACCTACTCCTTACATGCTTAAATAGATTCAGACTGAACTAGGTTCCCTGGATAGAAGAGTTAGTACTGCGTACCGAATGTATCATCCACGTTCATCGGTGATGAGGTTATTATATATTCCACGAAAATGTGGTGGTCGTGATTTTCTAAATGATGCCAGGACCCTCCATAATTGTGAGATCTGAGACCTTAGGAATTACTTCCTTTCTGTTAATATGGGTATGCATTGGAATGTAGTAGCAGTTGATAACGCTCTTACTCCGCTTGGTCTAGGTAAAGAGAACTGGCGCAAACTTGCAGTACTCAACATTACTTATAGTAAGAAAATATGGAAGGGCAAAAAGAGCTGCATGGACGTTTTTATCGGGCCTTGAATAGTCCTGAGGTAGAACAACTGGCGTCTGTATTCTGGCTACGACTTGGTGACCTCGGAGAACCTAAAGGTTTTGTCTTTGCAATTGCTGATGAAGTTGTTCCGACGAATAATTATCGGAGGTATATCCTGAAGGACGATACAATAGAGATTTGTCGGTCATTTCATTGTTCCAGGGAAAGCCTCAGACATATAATTTCCATTCTCGTCTTGCTAATGGCGAGGACTTGCATAGACTTAATCAAGTGGCCAGGATAGTCCATCAAGTATAACCTTGTGACTGTGGAGTTGCCGTAATACAAATATGCGTCCGACCCCGTTCTCCAAAATGGTCGTGCAACGTTGTGCTGGGATCGCCTTAATATCACTTTTGACATCACCATTAAGCTGTGATAAAATGAAACTGAAAATTTACGGTTATCTAAAAAATAAATACTTGATAAATTTAACAATAGATGAGAGAGAACTGAGTAGTCAGTTTAAAATGTTAATAAGTTACTTATTAACATTTTGAACTGACCACTCAGTTCGTCGAAATAATTTTTTTGTGTTACCCGATAGTACCTGTACTGCTAGCTAGATAGTCAATCGATGACTGATTTGTTTTTTTTTTTTTATACTAGGTCTACCAATAGGGATGACCTGGTTTTGACAGCTCATAGCGGCCATGTTTGATGATGGATCTTTGACGTCTCTTGACATTTGTGTTCAGTGAGGTTTGCCATTTTATCATGTCACGTTTCACTTTAAACCGACGCTTGGAAATTGTCCAAAATTTCTTTGAAAGTGAAGAAGGAAACCCTATTACTGTGAATGGCGAGCGCTATAATTCGATGTTAACCGAATATTTCTTACCGGAATTTGATGATATTGATGCAGACGACCTTTATTTTCAACAAGACGGTGCACCACCTCACATTACTCGAGTGAACATGGAATTATTGCGTGGAAAATTTGGTGTCTTAATTTCGAGAAATGGACCGATCAGTTGGCCACCAAGATCGTGTGATTTAACACCTTTAGACTATTTTCTATGGGGTTACGTTAAATCTAAACTGTACAGCAATAATCCAGCTACAATTTGTGACCTAAAAACCAACATTCGACGAGCTATAGCCGACATACCGGCCGAAATGGTGCACCGCTTCATCGAAAATTGGCGTGAGTGGGTGACCGTCTGTAAAAAGAGCCGCGGCGGTCATTTGGTCGATATATTATTTAAAACATAAATTGCCTAAAATTATCTATCAAATAAATCAATCGGATGCATTTTTCATAAAAAATTGTGTGTTTTATTCAATTTTTAAACCAGGACGTTCTTATTGGTAGACCCCATACTAAGTCTTTTAAGACATCAAGTCATCGGATAATGGGATTCTAGAGAAATCAAAGGCAATCTTCAAATATTTTATAGCCGCATTGCCAGCGATTTGAACATTTTTTGGTAACTCGTATTTATATTTTTGGTATTTTTCTCATGTGGTGAAGTTAGATAAATTTCGAACTGATCATGTTTTAAAGAGGAAAATAAATAATATTTTATTTAATACTTGAACTTGAATGGAAAATAAGGATGAATAATACAGCTTATTATTTTTTGTCAGAACCTAGGCGCATTGAAGTTGGTGATACTTTTTTAAAAGATAACCATATTGTAATGTATGTGTTTACATTACAATATGGTTATCTTTTAAAAAAAGTGTTACTGTGTGTGTGTTAAGTGTTACTTTTTTAAAAGATAACCATATTGTAATGTATGTGTTTACATTACAATATGGTTATCTTTTAAAAAAAGTGTTACTGTGTGTGTGTTAAGTGTTACTTTTTTAAAAGATAACCATATTGTAATGTATGTGTTTACATTACAATATGGTTATCTTTTAAAAAAAGTGTTACTGTGTGTGTGTTAAGTGTTACTTTTTTAAAAGATAACCATATTGTAATGTATGTGTTTACATTACAATATGGTTATCTTTTAAAAAAAGTGTTACTGTGTGTGTGTTAAGTGTTACTTTTTTAAAAGATAACCATATTGTAATGTATGTGTTTACATTACAATATGGTTATCTTCTAAAAAAAGTGTTACTGTGTGTGTGTTAAGTGTTACTTTTTTAAAAGATAACCATATTGTAATGTATGTGTTTACATTACAATATGGTTATCTTTTAAAAAAAGTGTTACTGTGTGTGTATTAAGTGTTACTTTTTTAAAAGATAACCATATTGTAATGTATGTGTTTACATTACAATATGGTTATCTTTTAAAAAAAGTTACTGTGTGTGTGTTAAGTGTTACTTTTTTAAAAGATAACCATATTGTAATGTAAATACATTCATGTAATTTTATAATGGCAAGATCAGGTATATCACAGTAGGTCGGCGGCCCCAGCTGGCGTGTCCCCTGCTAGTTCATTGACCAAATGTATCAATCGACGCGATTGTTGAACTGCTGTAGAGGCAGGCACCAGACCAAGGTGTATGCAAATCAGCTCTTTAATAGACACATCACGAGTTTCGCCCGGAAACACCATCTCTAGCAGTTGCCTGAGAAATACAACAAAATACGTTACTTAAAACTGGAAATATGAATAATTGCCAGATGATACAATAATGAAGGTATGAATGACTAGTGCGCTACATAAGAAACATATTATTATGAACCTTTAACATCTATAATAAAATAAGCTAATTATTTAAAAACAAAAATCCCGACTGCGTGTGTTAATGACAATTTACTTAGAATACTTAATTTTTGTAATTTGCATTTATCCAGTATCGCTATCTCAATTAAAACGAATATAATGGCACCTCCCAAGTCAGAATCTATCAAGCCGTTTAGACTACAAAGTTTACTAAAGAAATATACATACATACATACCCTTGAAAAACAAAACCCTCTTTCTAGCGCAATCGGGTCAAAATATAATAATACGAAGGCAAATTGGGCTTTGTAATTTATACTAATTTTAATCTCATGATTCATCATATCGTGTGGTCATGAAGGGCTGTAGGACAATTTGATAGAGTACATGACGACGTGAAGGAGGTGCTATAACTTAATTTGTTTAATTATGTTTCAACTTATTATTACTTTTCAAAATGATCAGTACGAGTATAATCGAAAAGTAAGAAATACGAATAATTTTGCGTATAACGCTAAGAGCAAGCTAAGAACATAATGTAAGTACCTACACTTCTCGTGTCTCGTTTCATTCTTTTGTCGTTAAATATCTACTAAATACTAACCTCAGTGATACTGAGCGACTGAAAAAGTTTTAAAGTCGTTAAATTAATTTAAAAAAAGTATTAATTAATAACACACATTATTTTATTTCTCTGCCCAATAGAAATCGGACATTATTTTCATTAGACCAGACCTAATCTGGTCAATATAACATATATCAATACAATAGTTTTTATCGTATTGAGAGTTTTTGAAATTAGCTTAATAAATAATGCTAAACTTGCATCTGTTTAAAGTGACACATTCTGTCATCATGTTTGTATTAACTAAATAGAAGTAGTCAAATATATCAGCGTTCTTTAAATCAAATCAAATCAATCGAGTCGTATTTACGTGAGTGTAAGGGCAGAAGGTAGTAAACTAACTTGTAGAAAGCGCCCTGTATGTCGCCGGGCGGGGGCAGCGCGCGTACGAGCGCGGGGCTGGGCACGCGCGCCGCCCGCACGGCAGCGCCGCGCCGCTCCCACCAGAGCAGCGAGCAGCCGTGCAGCGCGCCGCGCCGCCACGTGCCGCCGCTGTAGCCCGAGTGCGCCGTCGCCAACGTGCGGGCCATCGCGCGCCTCACCTACCACCACACATCTAGTGGATCACTATACTTTCAATACGAGTGTAAATGTCCTTATAAAAGCTCGCAATTCGATAACCACGATAGTTCAATCGCTTTTCTCCATTGTTACTCCTCAACAACGCGCGAACTCACACTTCGCGACAGACCTCTCTGGTAACTCTCCGTCACCCACCGTACTTACCGAACCTTGCCCCGACAGATGTCAATGTCAATGTGACAGACAGTCAATTTTTTTAGTGGGAAAAATTCAACACCCGAGAGGCAGTACAAAATTCTTTCGATGACTTCTACAGTAAAGGGCTGAATAAACTGTCATCAAATTGGCAAAATTGTATAGATAATTTGCGACAATGCTTTGATTAAAAGAAATAAAAATAATAATCAAAATTTTTATATTTAAAAATTTTCATACAAATTTCCAACTTCATAGTTGTTAATATTTTTTTTGTAGGTATGTAGTAGGTAAACTATATTTCCAATATAAAAATAATTAAATAAATGATTTATTCATATTATAAATATGTCAGGAATCTTTAGCTAAACATATAAACTGTACAGAATCTTACATAAATAACATTATGTAATCTGCCGCAGTAGTACGCAGGTAAGTATAGTAGACCAAAACCTCCTTTCTAAGGAGAGGCCTACGTCTAGCAGTGGACTAAGGGGCTTAGTGTCTACGAGTAAGGAAGTGTCTCAACTTACGGTGTCCGGCGTCAGCATATCTGCGGCGTCGGCCATGTCGGGAGCGAGAAACCTTCCCGTGGTGCGATCTACGTAGATGAAGTGTATGAGGCCGGGAAACTCCTCCACATACTTGTGCAGCGTTAGGGAACAACTCGGCTCTGGTTCTCCCGTGCGAACAACCCACATTAAGCGAAATAATCGATACGAATATAATGCGTTTGTTGTTTTGTGACAAGTAATTATGAGAAACTGCTTAAAACTATTTAACCTTTTGTTACGTAAACGGTTACGCTATCTGTAGATGTCAAACGAGAACTAAAATAGTTTTCGATACTTGATAACAGGTTGTATTACTAATAACTTATTAATAGTAAAAATTATACTACAATATCTTTACGTTTTACTATTTAGGTGTTGGCATATTTATTTTATTTTTATTTCTTCGAAGTATAACTAGATACTTAGTAATTTCTTTTTAATGTAGTTTATGGTAATATTTACACTTTAACATAAAGGGACATTTTATTCAACTTAGGGAGAGCTTATCCAATTATTCACATTTTCATTTTGTTAAGATATAACGTGTAATATTATATTATTACAAACAAAGCTAAAAGGAGACTACTAAGTATTTAAGTTTACTCATATACAATTACGCTACCGACAATGTCACAAAACAATTTTCAGTTCTGATGAATGATAGAGCATGTTAATATGGAAAGCAAATCATCAAACTAATAATAATACTACAATAATTCTTTTTTACGCCAAATACAATATCGGCAATACATAAGGAACTTAACACAGCACATGCTAGTTTTATACTGATGTGGAGGAACGAGTGTCATGTCCCTTCAACAAAGGGCGGATCCTCCGACTAGGCGAGGTGATATGTCTGGCGAATCGCAACCCAACGGTTGATATTGGGCAGTTGTCTAAATGCTAATCGGTTTATAAGCCCCAGTTTTCCCCAACCCAACCCTAGATCCGGGGCTGGTAGATAATATACTAGAAGTTAAAGTATGAAATTGCCGTTGTAGATACTTTGAATTGACAGAAAACCTTCATGGTGCGATTTATATCTCCCGTGGGTAAGTCCATGTAATTTTTTTAAAAGTAGAATCTCATACATATAAGATACTTTTTAAAAAAATGTGCAACATTCGATTTTTGACTTTCGATTGTCTTTTCGATTGATTAATTTGATACGATTGTGATTTTTTATCGGCTTAGACGTGAAAGTTGGATACTTAAAAAATCCGAGTTATTTTTGAATACGCACTAACGCGGCAGAAACGCAATATCAATGCTGCGTTTGGAGAGGAGACTGCTCATGAACGCACCGTGCGTTTTTATTATAAACACTTTCGTAATGGAAACTTCGACTTTCGAACGAACCACGTGGAAGACAACAAACACATGTGAATTGGTAGGAGCCGATCCGAGTCAAAATAGCCAGGAATTAGTATGGTTTAACGTTACCCTACCTACAATCTTGACTCATTTGCACTAAATCAATAAGATAAAAAAATATGAAAAATGGGTGCCTCATGATTAGATTGCGTGGGGAGCAGCCTGTAAGACCTTACTACTTCAGGTTGATCGAGCTCAAAGGGCAATTCCAAAAGTGATGCATTTTAAACGTAGGGATTATCCAACCACTCTTCTGTACTCAGAGTGCAGAGTTTTTACCGTACGTCAACTTTACATCCTACGTACTGTGCTGCGCCTACACTCCTCTCTTCCACTCGACAATACTGTCCTTGTTAGACGGAAGGGCACCGCGGTTTGTGCCCCCGTCCCGTGTTGCACCGCTTTTGGAAGTCGTCGTATACGATCCTTAGAATAGCAGCACTTCTTGACGCAAAACAATCTGAAGTATCCACTTGCGGGCTATTTGCAGAAGTTGTCATACGATAACACAGAAAGGCTTATCGTTGCATTTTCATAACTGTCTACAGGTATAACACATGATGTTTTTCAATGTTCTCCATAACTGTTACTGTGCACAACCTATTGAATAGATTTATGACGTTGTATAAATTGCTATCTAGAAATTACACGACTCCTAAGATACAGGTTTCTTACCTAGTTTAGGAGTCTGTAGTAACTGATCGGTATTTGTAATCATATTACTACTTAAGCTCTATTATACCTGTGCATATTATGTATGTGCTTAAGAATTGAAGTAAATATAGATTATTATTTTTTGGGTTTTAATTTTTATTTTCTCAGCTTTTCCGCTGGTTCCATCGTATTTACGGGCCTACACCAAGTAAATAGAGCATTTCATACATTTACATTACATTTCATACTTTAACCCCTAATATATTAATTTACTATATACAGACAAGTTTTACAACATGTATGATACACAGACCAAAACCAAACAACTAAATGTTGTTATAATCCCAATGCATACATTTCAATGTCTGAACTGACCTTATTGACTGATGCACTCGAGAATTGTATACCAGAGATAGAAAAATTTAAATAAATAGATAATAACAGATAGAAATTATATACTATACCATTGATATATTTTTCACTACACGACGTTGCAGTTTGATTCCAAATATGTTTTTTGGAGACTTGCTTGTAAAAAATCTATGGACATCCATTTTTTATAGTATATAGGGCAAACAAGTAGACGGTTTATCTGATGGTAAGGGACTACCGCAGACACTTACAAAACTCACACGGGACACTCACACACGCTACCGGCCCTCGAGTGCCTCCGTCATAATTAAGAGCGGAGAGGTCACTCGGTAAACAAAAGAATTGCTTGTTACCGATTTTACGCCGGCCGAGGTATCACCCGCTACATTTGTATCGAAGCATAAAATACATCAATTTGACACGCTAACAGTATTAAAATAAACCGGTCAAGTGCATATAGGGCCCAGCAAAATGTCGGTTTTCGTTGTTTATTACTGATCATTTTTAAACAAGTAACAACTTCATCTAAGCAGTTCTTTGTAAGGATTTTGATTTTTCTAAGGTATGTATATTTTATAAGTCGGGCGAGTATTTATGTAAAGCTAACATAGCAACTTAGCGGCATATTTTTCCTTGTAAACTCGTTAAATACTACTATCATGATTTTATTCCGATTTTTCAAATCAACAGTTTAGCTAGGAAGGGAGGGGATGGTTGGCTGTAATAAAACTGAGCACTGTAAAGTTTAATAATACGCAAACAGACTACTCTTTTGAAAAATAGTCTTTACAACCTCTCAATGATTTTAAGAGACCTAACTAGTAAAACACCATACTGTCGCACATACTACAATATGGTGTTTACAATTATTATTTTTACCACTTAAGTATGTTTTCCGATTTAACGTTGCAGTTTTGTAGTATTTACCGGCTCTTAGGACATCTTATTAGGAGTACAGAATCAAAAAAAAACGAAACCTTCCTACAAAACTACTTTCAGAATGTGCATTTATGAATTCATCCACGTTGTGTTTTCTTTGGTTTAGATTTCTAATTTGGTGTATTTTCTCAGTAAATCGAAATTTGTATCCACTGTTATCTATTAGCATTAAATTTGACTAGACTCATAAAAGTGAAGAGAAGTGGAGTCAAAGTGTTCAATATTAAACTAAGTAATAATATAATGATATAATATTGAAAAGGATATGGTGCCAAACTGAAGTATCTCTTGGCCTTTACGCAGAGAAAGTCGACGTAAGGTGCAAGAACTTCTTTAAGTCCTATCAAGGGATGATCCATCTTCACACTTGGTATGTCAGGCTTTAACTGCTCTATAACAGTTTCGAGTGCCGTTTGCATGGCAGTGGCGGTCGTTTCTGGTGTCAGTGGAGTGGTAGTGGTGCAGGATTTGCGCAGTTCCAACATCCGACTGGTCAAGCGGGAGCACAAGTTACCATTTGCTTTGTTTTTGCGCAGAGCGTCTGTTGTCTAAAATAGGAATAAACAAAATTTTTGTTGTGAGACACAAGATTTTACTAAGGCTCTATTATACTGAAGTTTTAAAAATGGTTTTTACCTTTTTCAAGGATGCTTCTAAAGAGTCCAACATGCTGGGTAACATTTCTAGAGCACGTTGCAACAGCACTCTTTTAATATTTACTAAAACTTGATACGAGGTCTGCGTTGCAGCTCCTACCTCCCTGTTAAATTGAAACCCAAAAATGTATTTTTATAGTATTTTATTACTTTTATTAAATATTATCGTGAAGAATAATTTAAATTATATATATATAACGCTTTTGATATGTTATATGGCAACGATATTTATTACAATTAAAAGATGGTGAAATAGTGTCGTCAAGTCAATAGTACATGAGACATCGTCTTTTAAACCTATACAATATCTGTTATTTTTACATAATTCAAATTAAAAAATTTATATACCGCATTTCCATGTCGACAACCACCACAAACGTGATCCGTGGCGCCACTTCAGCAATGTGCAGAGAGTGCGGCGCACATGGAGCTCCCGAGCCCGCGGATAAGTTCACTATGGCACTATTTTCTGTCGATAACCCTAAAAATACAATGTGATAAGAAAATCACCACACGTATTTAGATAATATTATATATTATATAAAAGAATTGAGAGTAAACGTCATTTTTTTAAACAAATATAATAAACAAGATAAGATTTAGATTGCAGTTTTGGAAAATTGACTTTTGTTTAAAGAAAAATTAGTTAAAACTAATATTTACAAGCTTATAAAGTAGAACCTTTTCTAAATACAAAAATATTAATAATTGAATTCGTTCCAAGATACCCAAAATATTGAAATACATAGCTATAACATATGTTTACTACAATTTTTTTTTAGTTTAAGTAGCAGTCATCAAACAACGGACAATGACATGTTTAATATTAAACTGTGGCTGTATAGAGATGTAGAGAAAGAGGCCCAATTTCACTTATTTATTATTTTTAGGGAAACTACAGCTATTTAGTAGGTTACAAAATTTTAATTTATTATGCGGTCAGCCTCAGCTGGTTGCATTTATAATAAACTAAAGGCAATTACAGAGTTCAACGCCAAGTTGTGTTAGGATATTATAACTAATACCATCTAATATTACTATAAAATTCAAAAAAATAAGGAACTTTGTTTCATCAAAAAAGAAAAATGTTTAAATAAGTACACCGTTATTTGTGTGTAATACATTAATCGCTTATCAACAGTAGGGAGCAGAGATTTTTATTTAAGTAAAAAATGTATATATAGCTGAACCTATAATAATTATTGTTGAACGTAAAGACAATTCTGGACATTATTGAGTTCCTACGATAATTCGTGCGATGGTATGGATATATAATCCTTTCAGGAGTATTGAATTGAACACAAGATGAAAGTTGGGAACAATCCAAACCTCCACGCACAATATTGTTATGAACCGGGCATTCGATAAATGAAAGTAGACGGTTAATTACCAAAATTAGCACTGTATTTTCTATATATCTACTTATATGAACATCGTTTCGATATTAATCCGCTGTCTCGTAAATCAATACTCGCCCATACGGCTAATACAAGTACATCCCTAGGTTTTGATAGAGCGTTCCAGACAGACCCTCGTACATTATAAGGAATCTACAGAGTTCTATCAGCAAGTATCAGAATTACGAACCAATATGTCAACGCGTAGTGTTCGTTGTGCCTTACTTGATACTAGATGGCGCTCTTCTCCAGATTCCATACGACTCTCGATTGTTCACGAACTAACTACATAATACAAGAACTATTTAGTCCTGTGGCGCAATAACATCAAACAAGAAACACACGTCCACAATTACTTTTCTAATGACTAGCGGTATAGTGTTGACAGTCCTCGATATAAGTACTGTCACGCCTGTGTGTTTTGTTGTTAATGTGTTATAAGAATCGTTTCTTTCAATATGACGTGAAAGTAACATCTTAGAATACAACAAAATCTCAAGATCACGCACCGATTCTACCCGCAGAATGTGGCTGTTACAAAACTTGTAGCTATTTTTATGGGATCACGCTTACAAGTGAAACTAATCACTTGACATCTATTAATCTGCCCAGTTTTATTATTTATTTTATAATAATTATATAAGGCATTGAGATCACGTTGTGTAACTTCACAGTCTATCCGGGATCGTATTATCATATAGTTTTTTTTTATTTACATATAATACGCGGTTAGAGCAGTTTTGAATGTCGTATAAATATGCACAATAAAAGAGCGCCTAGATGCGATCCTTGGGGAACATCGGAAGGAACAATGTTAAAATCAGATTAGAATCCTTCTAGTACTACCTACTGCCTGCGAGCGACTAGAAAGATAAGATTTATCCATCACAACCAATCGAACCACCACAACCAAACTTTTCTAACAAAATTAAATGATCGACTCGATTGAACGCCTTTTCATAATCCGTGTCTACCTGACCTGGATTCTCCATTCCATATAAGGTGTAATTACTAAAAGTAGTTGATCGATTCTTGAGCCCTGTTGGTTCTGAGGTATTCCGAGTGATATCGCGAGGTTAATTTTATTTGAGATTCTTTTTTTTCAAACAATTTTGCTATGGCACAGAAAGTGGATATGGGACGGTAATTTTTTATTCGTGATTTAGAGCCTTTTTTATGAATTGGATGTGTGCTTTTTTTCACTCATGGGGAAAAACACACTCCTTCAATGACTTATTGAAAATAAGATGATAGGACGTGCAAGCCTTTTTAACAATTAAATAAATAAGTTGCAACCACACCACTTCATCTCATATTCTTCACGCTATAAGAGATGAAAAGTTTTTTCTGTACATATAAATACTCACATGGTAGTCTTACAATTTCTTGTTGATCACCAGTGGAGGTATCATTGCCATGTTCTTGCCAGTACTCTTGGGCAGCGATACATTGAATGCTCAATAAAATTAAATCAGGTGGTGCTAAATCTTCACTGCCACGACTACAACAGAATATTTTTATTTCTATTGGTGCATTAGAAAATCTGTAGTAAAATTATTGCTTATGGATAGATAGAGAAATACTTGATTTGTACACCAGGTTTTTACAGACATTATAAAGTAATTACAACAGACGTAATGTACAAAGGGCGGCCTTATCGCTTAGTGCAATTTCTTCCAGGCAACCTTTGGATGGACTGGATTCATTTTGAACTGGTCATAGGCATACAGAAATTAGAGAAATAAATAAGGTCTTAACCTTAATATTGAAATAATTATTATACATAAATCCTACTAATCAATATTTCTACATATATACTACACATACATACGTTAATATATACATACATACGCTAATTTCCTCCTATTAGCGACAGATAATACTCATATAGCATAGTCTTGAAGGTGTTTACGGATTGCGCACGTCTGATAGTAACCGATAAGGCATTCCATAAACGTACAGCTTCTACGGAAAACGATTTTGTGTAGAAATTGGGAGAATGCCTTGGTATTTCCAATCTCAGGCTTTCAGAGGACCTCAGACATTTCATATGTGTCATGAAGGAACTTAAAGCGTTCTTTGAGGTGAATAGAAGTAATTGGATTAAACAGAATTTTATACAGAAGCGTAAGGATATGAGTATTCCGGCGAAGGCGATGATGCGAACTGTAGTAGTGCCTATTGTTAAGAACAAGACTGGTGACATTACTGACAGGGGTAACTATAAACCCATATCACTCGCTACCGTACTTGCTAAAGTGCTTGACGGCATGCTCAACACACGGTTAAATCAACATTTAAATATACATGACAACCAGTTTAGGGTTCCGACCAAAACTATCGATTGTTAAGCATGCTGCAAGGTACTATCCTGAGCGGGGAACGCCCATTTTCGACTGTTTTCTAGACCTTTCAAAAGCTTTTGACCTAGTTTCTTATGATGTGCTATAGGATACGTAGAAATAGGATACGTAGAAAAAGCTAGACTACCACCACAAATCATTAACATCTTGAAGTGCAATGGGCAGGAGTCCTATCCGAACCATATAGGTTGAATACGGAGAGTATATAGCTTCAAATATATTGGCCACATGTTAGCCCGAGAGCGTTGTCACTAAGAGCGAAAATGATGGCCCGCAAGTTCGCGCGTTGTTCACTGAATGTGAAAATCGCACTATTACGTGCATATTGTACCACTTTCTACAATTGCAGGCTGTGGGCTAGATTCACTCAAAAATCGTACAACGTCCTCAGAGTGCAATATAACAATGCGTTCAGGACGCTGGTGGGTTTGCCTCGATTCTGTAGCGCAACGGGGATGATTTTACGCGCTAGACTGCTTTACGCAACGATGCGGAAGAGGTGTGCATCCCTAGTGCGCAGGGTTCGAACCAGCACTAACAGGATCGTAAGTATTACTAACACTGAGTCTGCGCGCTCGAATATATAACTTGAAATAAATAAATAAGTAATCAATATTTTGTACACATATATTCAAAACAGGAAGTGTCATTGCTATTTTTCCTAACTACAAGTTGTCGCGCCCAGCGGTGACAATAGTAGAAAGAGAATAGTAAATGTGCAAAACATAAAAAAAAACCGGAGGGTTACGTACCCAGATTTTACGTAGATTTTCGAATTTAGATTTGAATGAATGGAAAAAGATATGGGCAAATTTAGATTTTCGCGAAAATTTGTATTTACCAAAATTTATCTTAATTTACAACTTTTTTTATTTTTTGGAATTATTCCTTTATTTGTGCTGTAAGACCTTTCTTTTACCCAAATTTCATGATTCTAGGTCAACGGGAACTACCATATAGGTTTTCGACCCAAACCTATAGGGTACTTTCGGTTGACCTAGAATTGTCAATTTTGGTTGGTTGGTGCAATTAAGGTAAATTTAGGTACTTAAAAGTTTTCGCGAAAATCGAAATTTGCCCATATGTTTTTGTCGTGTTGTCTCAGAACCTTGATTTTTATCCACCTAATAGGGCCGAGAGACCTCATTATCTGGTATAAATTTCAACTTGCTAGGTCTACCCGTTCCTGAGAAAATCGGTGGTGACACAGCGACAGACGGACAAGAAAGTGATCTTATAAGGGTTACTTTTTTACGTTTTGAGGTATGGAACCCTAAAAATGGGTAATACAGTTTAAAACCCTATGAAAACCCAGAATGTGCAGCTTTCGTAAAGGCTAATTGTTATATAAAATAATATATCATAATATAATAATATAAAATAATAAAATAAGATAACCTTGAATAAAGTGCCAGCAATTTATCTCCCACAAATAACATAAAATGGCTATGATTATAAGATAATTTAATATCTTTTGAAGCAGTTTTTAATGCATTGAGTGCCACTGCAGTTGCTCCTGTCTCGCCAATGATGCCACTAGCACCTGGAATTGTATCACCTTTGGTGCGACTCTCCAGTAAAGTTGCGATCCACTGTTGATATATCGGTGAATGGAGGCTGCAATGAAATAGATAAATTCATTTCTCTGTTTTAATAGATGTATGTATATTGAAGAAAATCAGTCTGTTCTCCTTTAAAAGTATGTTAACTTAATAATATAACAGCAGTAGGATTTTTTACTAATGTATGTATAAAAGCTATAATTAATGTAGCATCAATCGGCAGACAAGGATCCATACCAGGTCTAGTCATAAAGGTTTTGCTGACTCCGAATTCGTTTAAAGGCAGTGGACCCAAAATAAATTCTGAGGTAGCCATAACGCCCGCTACTGATATTTTGGGAATTAACAACTGTCATGCTGAGTCGAATAATGTCTCTCTCTCTAAATTATTACTGTAATTATACTCTATCTAAATTATTAATCCTCTAAAATGATCCTAATTATCATCGATTAAAGAGAGGATAATGCATCACATGCTAATTGTTTAAAAGACTTTGATAAGATATAAATGATTAATTTAAACTTACAGGCTCATGTTTAGACCACAAGTGTGTTGAACAAGTGTCTTGAAATCCAGCAATTCTCTATGTGCATCATCAGTATCACCATCATCAATTATCATAAAAATATGATCAAGTAACTGTGAAAATTTAAAAATGTATAAAGGCCTCACTTGATGAAAATAAATTATGATCAGTCTAATGTCACACTGATTTTGAGAATGGAAGTGTGTGCTGGTGTTGCATTATGATGCAACTTGCAGCAAATACATTAGCCCCATTCAAATAATGTAACATCCTCAATACAAAGATTGATGGCAAATTAAAATGTAAAAGAAAAATGATTAATATATCTTATATTAGGGTTTAATCTTTATTTTTCAAATTCTATTAGTGTTATATTTTTGCTAATGCACTTTTTTTTAAAAGAACTGTTTTTTTTTTTGTATATAAAAATTTTTTTTTGTCTATTATACTAATAAATGTACAAAAATATGATTGTATACATTTACCTCATCAAATAATAAGGAAGTGTTGTCTTCACAATGCATGACAGAGTATGTATTGCCAAACTGAGCGGCCATTACTCTTTGTGAAGTAATAATAGGCGCCAAATACTGAGCAACTTTGATATTGTCCGGTACATCATCTTCAATTTCCTTCAATCAACAATTAGAAGATCTCAATTTAGACTTAATGGGATTAGGTTCACAAAGGTGTCTTGGTAACAAGAAGATCAAAACATCTATGTTCATAATAGTGTTAAGATAAATTATAGCTCATTAAAATGGCCTAACTAAACCAAAATATTATTTAATGGGCTATTATAATATTAATTAAATGGGTAAATGCAATTTTATATAAATAAATACACAGACCATACATACAGTAGGGTTCTATAGTTTATTTCTACCCATTTTAACAAAGTTAATTGAACTGTGATACATTCCTGCATTAACTCAAAACCAGCCACCACAAAGTTTAAATACCTTATCTAGATTATCATAAAGCATTAAGCAAGAAATTAGATACAAAAGTTTTAAACTGAGTGCCTATTTAATATTTAAATCTACATTTCACACCCATATTCTGATATTTTTACTGTAAAAACAATTCATATGTATTGAATATGTAAATAAATTAAAAATTTAACTATGATGGGTATCAACATACTTAAAATTAAAGGAAATATAAGAGTCTTTAGGAGAATATCCAATGTAAATTTAATTAAGTAATTTCTAAAGTGTAAAACTTACATGACTTTCTTGCACTCCGAAGGCCTTCATACGATTTATAAAATTACTATTCCATTTTCCAAACACTAAATCATTGGCACTATCAAAGATCAGCGAAGCCTTTATATTTAAAGGGTTTATTTTATTAATGGATTTTGGCATTTTGATTAAATAATGTGAACTGTAGACAGTACAGTTACACTAATTGAGGAAATGTAGATATATACTGATTAATACTGAATCAAAGAGTACTTTTAAGTTCATCTAATCAAAAGACCCATTAACTATCAATGATTATGGCATTTAGAAATTAAAGTGTTTTTACTATTTACACAACAATAATTATGTACCCACAGATAACTATATACTAGTCAGAGACCTTTTACCATGTACCTTACATTTAATGTAATCACAGAACATATATACCCCTAAATGTAATTTAATACTACCGTCACTACCCTATATCGTGTATTATCTATGGTCACTATACTATATAACTACTAGTCAGTAGGGATCGCGATCTGAAATCGAATAATCAAATCATCGAAGAATCGATTTCTGAGGCTAAAGATTCTATCTACAAATCGATATGTTGCAGTGAATCGATTCACTGATCGAAATGTCAACCTAGAAAATCGGCATGTTGTATTTATTAGGCTGGTAATATAATCGACACTTACAGTTTTAATTACCAAGTTTTAAGAACTTTATCTTTGTAAACCTTTCTACTGTTAACGTTTCTAAATAGCAAGAATGTGAAAATTATTAGTGCCTTTACTTAAATTAACTGTTAACTTTTATACTGTGGAACCACTTTTATACATAGACAAGGCAATAATATCACAACTTGGTTAAAGCGGTTAGAAAGGGTTTTATTGTATTTAAAATACAATATTTAAAGAATACGTAATGTATTTATGCAAGGAAAAAACAGTTGAGTAGCTTCTAAACAGTCAAATGTAACTATAGTAACGACAGCCATAAATAAGTTGTAGGAAGATTTGTAGTATCTTCACATCCTCAGAACTTTTTAAAAATTTTAATTTCATTTTAGACCAATTTTTCGACTCAAATCTTCTAACCTTGGGCCAAAGAGCGGTTTGGTAAACATGCCCGCCAGTTGTCCGACGGATGGTACTTGTTTCACTTCAAGTTCACCGTTGTTAACACATTCACGCACAAACAGGTGCTTCAACTTCATGTGCTTGGTCCGCCTACGGTACTCATATTTAGGATTGTGTGAAAGCTATATAGCTGATTCATTATCTAGATAGAGCACAGGTTTTTGTAAGTTGGCCAAGTCTGTCAATAGGCTGTTCAGCCACAAAATTTCTTCAGTCGACGACAATGATACTATAGTTTGTCGCTGACTTTTCCAGCTAATAGCTCCTTCTGAAAGTAGGCACACCATCCCAGATATCGATCTACCTGTTGTATGATCTCCTGCGAGGTTGGAGTCAGAGTAGCATACCAAATTGTTTGGTGACTCCATTGTGTGCCTGTATACTAGTACTGTAGTGGGTGTCTCGAGGTTTCTGGATGCTTTGCTTACAGCATAGACTATGTATGGCCTTGTTCCTACTGCTAAGGAGGTAAGAGCTCCAACGGCCTGTCTGTATGGAAAATCTAGCCTGTTTTCAATTTTAGGTTCTGTATCGTAGACACATTCTTTAATTATCGGAGTTGGTGTGGACTTACTGTTCATCATACCAAACCTCTCAAGAACCTTTTTTATTTAGGCTTGTTTACATAGAGTTATTCTGCCTTTTTCTGCTTTTATTTCCATGCCCAGAAAGTGGGAGATGGGTTTCGTTATGATTTTGAAACGAGCTTTAGATTGTATGCACCTCGCAATCTGACAAAGTCTCATTTTTATTGAAGTTTAACCCAATCAATGTTTCATTATTGAGAGCTTGGTTGTTCATATGTCCAAGCTTTCTGTGCTAGTCAAATATTGAGCCTCGTTTCGTATTTGTTGAACTTTTTGCGGGGGTAGCCGCAAAGCTTCGTTCAATGTTCAGCGATCTGACATAATAAAGGCCATTTGACTTTGTTGCGGTCATTAGCAACGTTCCCGTTTTATTGCGTATGACTGCTTTGTCTTTATTAAACTGTACTCAAGCACCATGACTGGTAATACTCGGTACTGAAAGTAGATTTATAGAAAGTGTGGGTACAAATAACATGTTTTCTAGGTGTATTCTCCCAAATTTATTGTTCAGCGTAACTCTGCCTTCACCCATTATTTCAGTAGAGTGTGCTTCTGATGCAAAGTTATACTTTCTTGAGACAGTTTTCATGTCTTTCAAATACTCTTGCTGTGGCGTCATATGAGAGGTGCAGCCGCTATCAAGTACCCAATCATCCTCGTTGTGATGGTTCGAAGTTAAAAGACACTCTTCAGCGTAGTATAACTCTCACTACGCTGAAGAGTGTTTTTGTTAGTTGTTGTTAGTGTAGTCTTGTTTTTTTTTTTTTAGAACATACTTTGTGTGTCGTTTTTTCAAGATTTTGCTTCCAGTCTTCTTACAGACTTTGCAACAAAGTGCGTTTCCTTCTTTATGGTGTTGTTGACCAGGTTCAAAGTTTTCATTGTTATGATGACGAGCATCAACTTACCTTAATCTTACAAGCTCGAGTATATCTGGCCATCGTCGGGTGGGCAGGGCAGCAGCACGGGACCCTTTCCTTCCTTTTCCGGGCATGGCTGCTTCGGAAAGTACCTGCATTCGGTTGCTAGTAGAGAATTGAATCCCGCCTATCACTAACAGTGAGGATTCGGCTCAGCACACACTGGCCATTTGCCCGGCTAGGGCGCCGGAGCGCCGGGTCCTCATTGTAGTCATCGGGGGGGGGGGGATCTCTCGCTACCGGTCGTCAAACTCCATGGCCGGTAGTGACAGGTGTTTCACCGCGGTCGCATCCTTCTGCGAAGATGACATCTTGCAGAAGGAGGTGGTGGAGAGGGCCTAAATAGAGAATGTACCTGAAGGTGATGCCCGCGCCGTTGTGGGCAGGCGCTAGGAAGGGTCCAGATGTCTTAATAACAGCAGTTCCCGGATCCCTCCTATTACAGGCGCAGAGTGGCACACCGTGTGGTTTCAGTCGGTCCAATTCCGACACACCACCCCGCCGCAAAGCCCGGTGTGAAGACGGACTGAGGGGTTTCCGCACGTAAAAAAAACCTATATGTAGGTCATATGTATGGATGAGGTACTCAACTGGGTGTAGGGTATTCCTCCTATGGTAATCTGCCACGCTTGAGTAAATCCTAAAATCCCTTTTAGAGCTCCCCTACTATAAGAAACGAGTGTGCTTTAGACCACACGACTTCTAACTTACTCCCCAAGTCAAGTGTGCGTAAAGAAGTTTTACTTCAATAATAATAATTAAGTCGCAGTGGTTTAGTTAATCAGGAGTGATAATATGATTTATAAAGCATATGAGTTATCACATGTGCTTGTGATTTTATTCCATCCCTAGTTGCGCCCATTTTTCTAAAAAGATCCGTGTTGCTTTGGGATTTTACTTTGTGTTGTCTGTTAAAGTATGTATTCTAAAGGGCAATGAGAGTACTAAAACGTAATTTTAATGATTTTATTTAAGTAGCTATTATCCACTTATACTTCGTAAAATTTAGCGTGATAGCAGACAGATGTCACAAAATAATGACTACGAGTAGTGATATGACATAACTGGCTAAATCGATCAATGTATACACTGTAATCGATTGGAGATATTTATTTATTTGCTCTTTATTTGCTTTACCTGACCTACACGATATTTAGTAATTTAGAATAAAATAGGAACTACACTTATGTGTTATCTATACACGGTGATTTTATAGGCGTTTTGGAAATGAAACATTTTAATTTGGAATCATCTATTGTACCAATAAAAATGGTTAAATCAATTGTAATGTTGACTAAAAAAAAGTTTGTTTTAATATTCATTTTTACTCGATCGACTTGGAAAGTAGTAATGCATTGATCATTCATTCATTATCTTATAGGAATGAAACACGTCCGTGCGTGTTTCGGCGGCCGCTGCGCACCGCTGACGCTAACAGCAGCTGATAAAAGTAAACTTATAGGCGCGAGCTAGCGAGTACTTACGTAGATAGACTCCAGTTTGTCCTACATACTTTACACGGGCTTAGGACCGTCGGAAATACCTATTTTATTTAAACTTCTTTTCGATTACTACCCACGATTGTTCTTTTCACAACAAATCAATTTATCAACGGACTGTAGGTATAAATATTTCAGGCGTATTTAAAAAATCGGAGCAATCTACAGAATAATTAACTTACATGCCTATTTACAGTTTATTTACACTATTTACACTTCTCTGTATCGAAGCAACTGCTCAAAATGAAGTCCGCTGCGTTCAATACACAAACGTCCACGTTTAATGCAATTGTTTTTTAATTTTCTTAATGTGTCTCTATCACTTTTCACTTTATCAAAAGCGTCCACTATCGCAATGCGTAAATCATCATGGCTTTCATATTCCCGTGTATAAACAAGTCTTTTTATTTCCGAGCATAAAAAAAAATCCAGGGGCGTTAAGTCCGGGCTTCTAGGTGGCCAAGGCACAGGCCCTCCTCGACCTATCCACCGATCACTAAAGTCATTGTTCAGGTATGCACGCACTACACTCCGGCGAATAATAATTTAAACTTCCTTGATCTTGCGCATGAGTAGGCGTACGAAATTGTCCGTGGTCGAGACGTTGGGTTGCAGCCAAGATGGTAGGTGTGGAGGGAATTTGAGGGCTTTCAATTCCACGTAGCCGTAGTGCATTTAAATGCTCCGGCTGGGAATACAAACGCCGAGCCTCTTCCAAGTTGTAGTTGGCAGTAGCGCACAGCTGTACCATTGCCAAGTACTCCACGTTAGAAAACGTCTGTACGTCGTACTGTCGACTCATTCTAGTGCTCCCGCAGATATACAATTGTAAGTTGGCCGACTAAATCGCAGAGTATAGTAATAGGTATAGTGACATATGCTAGCGCGCACATCTTCGCCAACTAAATTGTCCAACTAATTAATTGGATATCGACCGCATCAGAATCGAAATTCACTTCCGATTACGCACAATTAAAAAGTTGTCCAACTGTCGGCCAACTGTTCGTTAGCACGGTTACCTAAAACAAGTTCGCTGACTATCCAACCTTGTTGGTCAGTCGCACGGCAAGATGGAAGACGACAACACGCGTGCGCGAGATTTCCCTACGCCCGGATCTTCGTCGACGGGTACGACGTCTGCCTCCCGATCACTTGTTGCAAACGAAAAAGTAGAAGATTATATAGATTATACTTATAGATGAAGTGCAAAAAAGGCCAGCGTTGTACAAAAAAGACTTGAAACAATACTTTGATATAAATGTTAAAAAAAAAAATATGGAAGGAAGGAAGAAGGAGGAAGGAGTTAATCCAATCCTTTCTTCAACGGCTATAGCGAGTCGGAAAGTTGTCTCCTGTTTGATTATTGCTGGCCTGATTAGATATACGAGCTCATCCAAAGACGAAATACTCATTCTGTAGTATGAAAAAAAATATCTGGATCACATCTTAGTTTAGAATGCTATGTATGATGCTTCCCATATTCTAATCTATTACTTAATATAGGATGCACCCAAAATGTTATCTTTTGTTTTCGTCTTCTTTTTATTATTAGAGCAATTAGAGCGTTTTATTTCCGCATTTTCACGCACACGCACCGCGTTAGCAACACTGTCACCGATTAAATCGAGTAGTCTGCGGTTGGTAACCAATAAAATAAAGTTGATCAACTAAATTGTAAAAGTACGCAATTTAGTTGTTCCATAATCGGCCAACTTACAATTGTATGTCTGTGGGAGCCCTTAGCGCTAATCAATGGAGCGTGCCGTTACGATGTTATGGTATTACCAAAGAATATATCTACTCTCTGGGTATTACTGACCGACTGGGCAGGACGCCTCATGATTACAGGTGAGTCCCGCGCATGCGCGTCAGTTCAATGCCGTCATTGGTTGGACGACTCCGGCGCAACTCGGTAGCTTTGTTTTTATTGGCGAATACGATTTTATGTGTCTCGATATTAAAACGCATAGTATTTCTATTTGTAGTATTTACCTACGTGTGATTGAATAGCCCTACTACTGGTTCTCACTTTTTCTCTGTAAACGATATGAATATCGATTTTGATGAAAAAAAAAATATATTTTATTAAATTAACGTTATATATAGCTTCTGTTATTGATAAATATTTCAATTTGTTTTTCCAAAACGCTTTCAAAATCACCGTGTATATAAACTTAACCTTACTTAGTCATCATCATCAGTCGCAATATATAACAAATATAGTAGGATTGGGTTTAGAAGACCCGTATAAAAATTCGTTATAATAATTAGATTAAACGATTATGATCTTCTTCCAAAGATAATTTTATAAAAGTGTTGAAAAATATCAACAAAGTAGCCAACATCTGACTTATAGTGAAAAAGAGATTAAAAGAAACAATCTTTTTCTAAAATGGTAACTATTACATATGAATGAAATCTATAGTAAGACTCAGAAATCTCAGAATAATATATCATACCATAGCCACAGATTAACCGGGCACGTCCCAGCCTGCAGATATTAAAATTTCAAAATAAAAAAAATCCCATTTTATAGGTACTTAATTAAGGTTTAATTATAAAAAGGAGAAAATGCATATTAGTTAAAGACCAATTCACTGTAGAAAAGTAATGATACTAGATTGCCGATATTGTGACGATTTGGACACAAAACTTATGATTGTTCCTATTCCATGTGGATATTAATAAGATATATTTTTGTTGTTTTTAACCTACTTTATTATAAAAAAACACAAAGACATTCCCTTAAATTTCTTGGTTTCATTACAAAATGCATTTGAAACTAGTGACGACGTGGAATAACTTTCCCCGCCTTGTCACGCAAAATGTCCTTTTCTCATAATTTTATGTATTAAATTGAATTTCAATTATTTTTTTCTGAAATTAATAAAATTCCACCATGTAAACGACTTTTCGTGAAAATGCCCATGTATCAATTAGAGTGAATTTCTGTGCGTTTGGTTGATTCTGCCATAAGTACATATTACATTCATAAAATATCCATAGCTCACTTAGAACCCATAATGTAGATATTGTGTCCGTGGTGCTTCCCTGTTTAATATGGTGGATACCTATTTTTACTTCATTTTTCTGCGGGTTTAGCCAAGGAAGGAATTTGGGTTATTGATTGCAAAAAATCGAGATTCTTGTCGTTGTAAAGCGAAAGTATTACTCATACGTCGGTTCAAAGTTGTGTCGTCGGATGCGCTTCTGGCTGTTAGCGGTATCAAGCTATATTTTAAGGAGTTTAGTCAAATCGTACACTGTGCGATGCTAAGATATAGAAATCTTGTAGTTTTTCAACCCTCGGCAAGCGTGTAAACGTAGCATTATATCGGGCTTGCACTGTTTCAGTCTGCCAACTGTCAAACTTTTTCTCGTTTGTAAGAAACTGAATCGTATTATGGCTTTCAAACCTCGTTCACTGGTGTTTAAAATTTTATAAAACCAGATATAAGACAAGATGTGTGTAAAGGAGAAACCTCATTTTTGTATGGAGATCCGTACCAACGTGGGTCAAAACGAATTAAGAGCCAGACTCAAGAGTCTGGTTTTTCTTAATAACCGCAGTAATCTAATTGGTTGACTCGAAAAAACCATAAACTAAAAATATATATATTATATATACTGTGCTTCTTATGTTAGGTTAGATCATAGAGTAAGTTTGAAATGGAATAGATATATAGATAGATAGAATAGGTGAATGTTAAAAAACAATAGCGAAATATATTCAGTACACGATAAAAATATTCATCAAAGCAAACAGCAAAAACATCGAGGTGTAATAATATTTTTTATCGATTGTACTATATATTTTTTTACATTTCATTAAATTTCTGAACCGCTGCCGCGATGGCTGCTACAGGAAAATCCGTGGTATGTTTTTAATTTTCTTCTATCTTTATTTTGTTTTCTGTGGAATTGTAAACAAAACTGGTATGGTTTTTGCCTGCCTGCCTGCCTTTATATTACATAAACAATTATTGTGACTGCACCTCAAAGTTGAAGTGAGTGAAAATAAGAGATGCCTACACAATACATTATTTAGACACCCTAAGAATGTACGTTTTTGTTTCAGAAAAAAATTAAATCTTTCTGTGCTGTGACGTTTGGAGGTGTTGTAGCGTATCAGTATATTTATTATAAGAAAGATTTCAGTGGTTATTATGAAAATGTGTTACAGCCCTTAAGCCAATATCTTAACCCGGAAGTGGCACACAAAATTGGTGTAGCAGCTATCAAATACGGTTTCTTTCCTCCAGAAAAATTAAAAGATCCACAAGTCTTAGTAAGGTTTTGATGTTTTTTCTTAATTTAAACTGTAGCAGGTTATTAACCTAAAAACTATATGCTTTACTTTACAGAAAACTAAATTACTTGATTATAATTTAAATAACCCAATTGGAATTGCTGCTGGATTTGATAAACACGGTGATGCTGTCATAGGCTTGCAAAAACTAGGCTTCTCTATTGTGGAAGTGGGCTCAGTAACACCTGAAGCACAGCCTGGTAATCCTAAACCAAGAGTGTTTCGGTTACCTGAAGACAATGCAGTTATTAACAGATATGGTTTTAATAGTGAAGGACATGAGAAAGTATACAAAAAAATCAAAAACATAAAAGGGTCCCTTTTGGGAGAAGGCTTGTTGGGTATTAATTTAGGAAAAAACAAGTTATCAGACCCTGTCAAGGATTATGTTTTAGGAATCAAAAAATTTTCAAATGTAGCTGATTATTTTGTTATTAATATAAGCAGGTACATCCTAATTTCTTTTTTTTCTTGAATGCCATATCTGTTTGAAGTACTAGCTATCATATTGCTTATGATTGTAGTATGCTAAAAGTTTGTGATCTGAATTATCCCATTGTTTTGTTTGTCAAATTACTATTTGCTTCCAGTCCTAACACTCCAGGTTTGAGATCTTTACAGAAGAAAGAAGAGTTAGAACAACTTCTAATTGAAATAAATAAGACTAGAGATTCTATATCAGTGGAAAAAAAACCTCCACTGCTTCTTAAACTTGCTCCAGATCTCAGTTCAGAAGAATTGAAAGAAATAGTGTCAGTAGTTTCTAAACAAGAGTGTAGAGTTGATGGACTCATTATCTCAAATACAACAATAGATCGGTCTGAACTAAATAATATCACTTATAGAAATGAAGAAGGTGGTTTGAGTGGAAAACCACTTACAAATAGAACTACAGAAATGATAAAAACTACGTACAAAATGACAAAAGGTTAGTAGACACAAGATTTTTTGTGCATTTATTTTAAATACTCTTAGTTAAGTCTGTATGTGCAACATAGCTGTTTACTCAAAAATCTTGATTTATACTGTTGGAGAGTTATTCTTCAGCGCATATGGGCTGGCTCGACCAGAGTGATAGTGAATTACTTAACACCAGCAATCAAGCAATTATTTATTTATACCCTAAAAAAACTATGATTCTATCCAGACCTGTATCAAACATCTAAAACTTTGTCATTTTGTTGAATAATAGTGACTTTTGCAAATATAATTTTATCTTAACTTAACTAGCAGACATAAATGATGTCCTTTTTAGGTTTATCTTATATGAGTTAGGAAAATGTTTATTGTTAAATGTATGTTTCAATTACCTATTTTAGGAAAAATACCAATCATTGGTGTTGGAGGAGTATTCTCTGGTCAAGATGCTTATGAAAAAATTCTGGCTGGTGCTAGTGCAGTGCAAATATATACAGCTTTAATTTATCATGGTCCCCCTGTGGTATCAAAAATAAAAACGGAATTAGCAGAACTATTGACGAAAGATGGATATAATAATGTTAATGAAGCTGTTGGAAAAGGAATTAGATAAAACAACATATTATACAACTTTATATTTAAATATTTTAATGACAATTTTAACTGAAACAAAGTTTGTTGATCGATTAGTAAATTGCTTTCTTACTACTTGTCCTTTATTTTGCTTTTATCTGAAAAAAAGGAATATTAAAAGTTCAACCTCCATAATAAAAAAATGGTTCAAAAATTAAAATAAAAGTAAAATATTAGTTTCAGAAGACAAATGCTGTGAATTCTAAACTGGTGGACAATAAAATTAGGCTACCTACCCAACATGTAGTTGTGACTGATTCAAAATAAAAACTTTTTAAATATATTTTTTAATGATTGTGTGTTAATTCTTGAATGAAATGACGTATTTTTAAATTAACCAACTTAATTATTTTAGTAATATACAAGAAATATGAAAAAATAAAGAAAAAGATTTAGAATGGTTTCCATGATGTCATCTTTCTTTACTACGAGGTATTGCCTTTACTAAGAGGCTTTGATAACAAATACCACCCATGAACTTTTAAATGATAGAATAGGGTGCCCATTCTTCCAATAAAGCCGCTTTCAGCTGTTGCATGTTCGGAGCTAGGTCTCGCTGTCTTACTCGCCGCTTTAGCTGTCCCAGAAATGCTCTATTGGGTAAGGTCTGGACTTCGTGGCTGGCCGGTCCAGAACTTGTATTCCCAATTCTTGCAAGTAATCTCTCACGCACATCGCAGTGTCGGGACGCGCATTATCGTGCATTAATTTACATTCTTGACTGATAAATCCTGAATATGGCACTAGATACTCTTCAAGAATGTTAGTGATGTACGATTCAGCAGTCACAGTTACTCTTTCTACGATAACCAGCTCTGTATGGGCTTCTGAGCTTATACCTGCCCAGAACAAAACAACCACCTCCAAAGCTTACCCTATCAGAAATGGCTCATTGTGCATATTGTTCTCCTGGTCTATGATATACTCTTTTGCGACCATCAGCACCACATAAGGGACTCATCAGAAAACAGTACTTGCTTCCATTGTGCCAATGTCCAGTCACGGTGATTACAAGCAAAATTTAACCTTGCTACCTTATGAGCTGTGGTAAGTGATGATGTGAAGTTTAGGACCTGTTGCAGGTATGTATAGTTTTAAACTACGTTCCTTAAGGCATCTTTTTACTGTCCTATGACTTACAGCAACACCTCGAACACCTCTGAGTAGGTGCTGGAATTGTACTCCAGAACGATGTTGATTTCTGAGGCTTGCTGACATTATAAATCAATCATCCCATTCAAATGTCTTTCTTCTTCGGCCTCTCCAGATACCTTTTGTAGACATATTGAACTGTTGATGACTTCACATTGTCGAGCAACATTATGTTGGCTCATTCTAGTTTTTAACAATGTTACGATTCAAATAACTTCTGCTTTGCGTAGATCCATATTTATCAGTAAAAGAAAGTGGGAGGCACAGAATCTCAATCAGTAATACGAATTTAACTATAGTTTTAAATAGCGTCCAAGCATACGGACATTAAACATAACAGAATAAAAGTGTGGGTCTCAAAAAAGTGATTCAATGACATTTGACACATTTACACCTGATAATTTTATCTATATACCCTCTACTAAGATTTCAAATAAACATTTATTAATGTGTTATTTATTTTAATTTTTAAACATACCGTAGTTAATAAGTCATAAAATTAGAAGTGACTTTTCTAGTCTACCAGTGTAGTTGGTACTACCATAACCCATTAGCATCTCGTATCCAAGTCAAACACAATTCTTTCTTTTTTAATTATTTGAAATCAGCTTTTATGTAAACTAAGTCATAGACCAACACACAATAGCAACAGTCTGTTTTGCCACATATTTAGCCCAATCCATGATATACCTGTGCTGGTCTACAATCACACTATAAAACTAGAAAGTTCAGCAAGGTTATCTTATGCTTGTTAAGTTCTGCATATATATAGTTATAATTATAGTTGTTAATCAACTTTTAGATTCCTAATTTGTTTACACTTTTAATTCATTTACAAATTATGGCAGTAGTGAACTGTCCACATTTATAGAGTACTTAACATTTTTTTTTAAACAAAAAGCAATTTTACCAATGCTGCAATGTTAGAAACTTAATGGTTTTAGTGAGTATCTGTTAGGTGACCAGAGATTATATAAATTATATTATTTTATACCTCCAATTTCACAAGTAGTCAATTTTTGTTTCAAAAATTGTTTACACCCTTCGAGATCTGAAACACTTTCAAGACTAAACAGGATCAGTGTTTGAAGATTGGTTAGCGCTGTCAATGATTTTAATCCCTCATCTGTTACATTAAGACATTTGGAGATTTGTACATAAGTTAATGTTGAACTACCATATGACAGTCCTTTCAATGCCCTGTCATCAATATAACTGTTATTATGAAGGATTACTTTTCTTAACATGGTGCACCCAACTGAAAAATGGAAAATTTTTACTGTAAATACCATTCATCAACAGTATTACATTTTAATACAATGCATTAAGTCCATACTTAGATGAGGGAATCCGTAATGGGAAATAGATGAATCTGTCCCATCTATAGCAATCAATTGTTTTTTTGAATGCAAACTTTCAGATGGTAATGCATTATAATCTGCTAAAGCCTGTCCATCAGACCAAACCACCTTTCCTCCGTTACGAAGCACCCATTCAGCACAAGCCCGGTCTGGGCCAAATTCTTTAATGCGGTCCGTATCTGGTTTATTAAACATCATGTTTACATATTCCCAAAATGATCGCACCTGATAACTGATGGGGATATATAGTTTTTGAGCCGTCTTAATATTCTGCAACCATTATGTAAACACTAGAATATACCATAAGATGTGTGAGTTTGGAAAATATATATCGAGAAAGTAACATACGTAACGTGATGTATGCAACATATTAGTAATACAGACAGAACTACAAAATTAACAAAATCAAGACTATGTTGTTGTGGATTGACTGATTGAATCGATAGATGACACTAATGACAGATGATAGTTACGTAAGACGAATGTGAGTCATGTTATTCATAATCTACAATCGAGTATATAGCATCGAGATGTCTCTAGTAGGAACCTACTCGAGATTTTTAATTGAATTCATGAACTCTATTGTCGGCACCCATCGGCAATCGACACAAAATGTGTAGTCTACAATTATACAGTATAAGATAAGTTATATAAAATAATTAGCCTGTGTTTTTTATTAATAGAAATACGAAATTTAGAAACTTGTCAAAATGTAATACCTATTTCACTTACAATAGGTTTTTAAGTGTAGGTTTGCAGTTTTGTAATCATCAAGTCACCATTAACAGACATTCAGCTCATAATACGAGATCCGGCTGCAGAATCAGTGAACTCATCGAGTATGTGCTAAAAAACCATATTTATGATTAGGAGATTATAAATCTACCAGGTTGCCTACCAAAATGTGACCGCTAGAACTTTTAATTCAATTTTTGTTAATTGATTTTCGGGATAACATTTCGTTCACTTGTTTTTTAAATAAAATGTCGTCCACTTCACGATGTAGAAAAATCACGGTTGCCGTTGCGCACTCGACTGCACCTCTTCGCAGCCAGGTGTAAACAAGTATGATTTTGAGACATTTATACGTTCATAAAGTACGTTTATTCTTTATATATCAAATTAAAGCTATTTTTTTTCTGTTTATTACAATATGCGGTTGCCTAATTAAATCTGACCGCAAATAAGGGTTGCTGGCTGTTAAAGATAGTAAATATTTAAGTTAGAGCGAAAGAGAGTTAGCGCGTAACATCACTAGTCAGACGAGGAAAGCCATTGTATGCTGTAAGACGCTTTAAAGTCATTAGAATATGAGGGTGCGAGGAACTCCGCCGTCTCCTTCTGCGAGCAAGTTATGCTTGCGAAAGAGATGGTGGAGCGGGACCGGGAGAGATTTAGAACTCTCTCGGCCGGTGCCAGTGCCAGAGGCCGCAGAACGACCTCCGTCCTCCATAAGCGCAGGCCTAGGGGTGACAGGTGAGGTGAAGAAGCTATTTCTATTTTATGACAAGATTGTACATCTTGTTTTTGTTAACTAAGTAAAAGTGTAAATTTTTAAGCGAAAAAATAAAATAAAAATAAATTTTTTTGGACTTCGTTTCAAATTCACGTACTTAGGTCCTTTACCGTAGTGTTGTGACTCTTCAAATTCACTCGTATACGAATAATCGTTAAAATGTAAGAATTATCGAACATATTAATAATCTGCCATTGAATCCAGACATGTTTTAGTATTTACAATACGCGCTATACAAGTCTGCGCCAATGAAGTTAGTAGCAAGCCGAAAGTATTGTTCTTGCAGTATATATATACATATATATATATTCTGGTATTCTTGCAAACAAACGTACTGATCATATAAATACATTTTTTTTGAGGATGTTCATAAAGTGGAATTTAAGTATTTAGAAAAATAGCTGCAAGTAATTTTCAACCTAATGATTATCCTAAATATCTCATTTCTTTTTTATATTCGTAATCAGCGTCATTTATAGTAGCAAAGGGAAAATTGCTTACAACAGTTTTTTGTGAAATGTATATGTTGACCAAATTAAAATTAGATGCAAAGTGTTTTTTCGACATATTTTGCCAGTTAATATGCCCATTTTTGATAATTTTATTTTATTTATTTTTTATTTTATTTTACATCTTCATGCACGTATGTACATCGGCGGACTTAATGCCCTGGGTATTCTCTACCAGTCAACCTTTAGGTGGTGTAGAAATCTTGTAGGGTAGGTGCACCGAGGTTACGATTGTAATCAATGATTATAAATAATTGTTTATCTAAAACTAAGCAAAATCTACAAATATTATGCATATAAGTTATAATGTAATACAAATATAATTACACATATATATAGAAATAAATATAGATATAAATACATATTATTTATTTTTGTACACTGTGAATGCTTGAATTTAGGAGGTGTACTATTTGTTAAGTCACTTCCGCCATCTCCTCAAGAAGGTAATTATGTACATTCCTTTTAAATGCGAAACGGTTTGTGGACATCCTGATTTCGAGTGGGAGCGCATTCCAGAGCAGAACTACTTGTACAAAGAACGAGGAGTTCACGAAGTCTGAGTTGTGGGGGGGACACAAGAGAAGCAAATTATTCGTTGATCTAAGATTTCTGTCGTGATTAGAGGACAAGAAACGGATGTAAGGATCGAGGTAGGTGGGTAAAAATGGGCAGTTGAGGAATGAACAGAGAGAGGTCAGCGCTCGCTGATTGCGACGCAAGCGAATAGGTAGCCATTTTAATTGGGAGCGTAAAGCAGACACATGGTCATACTTGCGAAGATTGAATATGTATCGAATGCAGTTATTGAGAAGACGGTCTAGCTTATTGAGGAGGTCTGCATTCAGGTCGAAGTAACACACATCACCATAGTCAATTATAGGAACAATTAGGGACTGCATGAGAGAGGTTTTCGTTTTAGTGGGCAAGAAATTTTTAAGTCGGTATAGTGTTCGCAGGTTACCCGTTACTTTTTGGCTCACATGAGTAACTTGAGCACGCCAATCTAGGGTTGAGTCGATGAGCAGGCCTAGGTCTTTGACTACCGGGCTCTAAGGTATAACTGAGCTGTTCAAGATGACTGGTGGGACTGATGTAGTATCCAATCTTCCAATCATATGTTTGCTGCCGACTACGATCGCCTGGCATTTGGTAGGGTTTACTGACAATCCGAATCTGATCGACCAGGATTTTATAAAATCAAGGTCCCTGTTGACGTCATCGATGGCTCGCGTTATATCCTCCACCCTTGCTTGTGAGTATAGCAGGAGATCATCGGCATATAGGTGATACGCACACTGAAGGTGTTGAGTTATGAGGTTGATAAAGATAGAGAATAAAAGAGGAGATAAAATTCCGCCTTGAGGGACTCCAGCGTGGAGATCGCAAAAACTCGACGACACGTTCTGAACGCGAACACACTGCTGGCGCCCCTGAAGATAGGTGGAGAACCATTCCAGTGCCTCTGGGGACATCTTAAGGTATCCAAGGATTGATAGTAGAATTTCGTGACTGACGGTATTAAAAGCGTTAGAGAAATCAACTAAGACCAGAACTGTAACTTTGGTGTCTTCCATGCCCTTTCTAATATCCCCAGTCACTTTGAGGAGGGCGGTAGTAGTGCTGTGGCCAGGTCTAAAACCGGACTGTAGGGGACTTAGCAGTTTTTGTCGGTACACAAATTCTGAAAGCTGCTTGTATACACAGGCCTCGAGCACTTTAGACAGGAAGGGAAGAATAGAAATAGGTCGGAAGTGTTCGGGTAATGAAGGGTTATTTTTTTTGGGGAGAGGGATGATGTTCGCCTTACGCCACAGAGAGGGAAAGGTAGGTTCCTGAGTCTAGAGAAAAGTTAATTATGTGAGTAATTACCGAGAGAGTATAGTCCAGGATGGTGACAATCATACGTCGGCTAATGCCATCATGCCCCACAGCATTAGGGTGGATAGATAGGATAATCTTCTTGATGTCCCCAGAAGGCACCGGAGAAAATTCGAATGAGTCGATACTGGGACTGGTAAGACCTGATATGTAGTTCAGCGTTTGATCTTTGGTTTGTAGATCCAGCGTGGGTGTGGATGAGAAATGACGATTGAGATCGTTCAAATCAATTGTGTTCTTAAACTCAGGTTGTTGTTTATTGCCAATACCTAGTGTACCGAGAAATTTCCAGATACTGGATGAAGAGGACTCCATGTTTTGAAGAATGTGTTGGCGTTTAGAGTTGCGTGTCACCTGATTACACCGATTCCTTGCAGTCTTATAACTGTTCCACTTATCCTCGCACCGGTCTCTCTTAAATCTAAGAAAGGACTGGTCCCTCCGCCTCATTGCTGTTCGGACCTCCTGTGTTAGCCATGGTGCCGGGGCACGTTTTATTTTAATTGACTTGATGGGAGCGTGGACGTCGTACAGTCGCTCAATTGTGTCATTAAAAATATGGACTTTGTAGTCCACGTCGGTAGCTGCTGCCACACTCGTCCAATTTATCTCCGCGGCATCTGCATGTAATTTTTCCAGATCTATGCGCCGGAAACTACGAATTTGTAGAATTTTCGGAGGTGATTTAGGAGGTTTCAGGATGTAAGATAGGAAGATCAGGTCGTGATGGAAAAAACCGGGGGCAGGAAGTTGACCGTGGGAGAAGACAAGGTTTGGGGAAGAAGTGAGCATTAGGTCAAGCCAGGTGTCCTGGTGTTGGATGTTATGATGAGTGGCTTGGAGCGGCAGGACGTGGAGTCTGGTTGATTGGATGATCTGAAGGAGGTTGCGAGCACGGGAAGAGTTTAAGGCTAGGAGGTCAGTGTTAAAATCTCCCATGATGATGTGATGTGAGTATTCTGACCCTAAAGATTCCAGAACTGTTTCCAGACTGGAGAAGTAATTGACAGCGGGAGGGCAATAGACTACCCCAAGAATGACTTTAACTCCCCCCAAACAAACCTCGAGGAATAGGTATTCTGCGCTAGTGGAGGTATTGGAAGAGGAGGAGGCTAGTGGTTTATACGGTAAATCACTACGAAGGTAGATGGCGACGCCGCCACCTCTTTTATCCGAACGGTCGTTGCGGATGAGGACAAAGCCGGTGAGAGCGTAGGAAGTAGAGGGAAGGTGAGGTTTGAGCCAGGTCTCAGAAATCAGGATGCCATGAACGTCATTGTCTGAGAAAGTCTCAGTTAAATCGCCAATGTGGCTACACTGGTATGAAGTAACCCCTATGCCAAAACACGTTAGGCATAAGCGAGATAAGAATTTACCATTTCATAATTTACCATTTTATGTACTCCACCATAAAAACAAATTGATTTATATCTTGAGTCAACTTGCAGAACGAATGTGGAGAG